TGTACCAATCAACATATCATTTGTACTGTGGAAAAAATACAAATCTTTGTATGATAGAACATCTCTTCGGTACTATAACAATACTCTCCATGGTGGAATTATCAAAATATTTAAGAGAGAGAGAGAGAGAAAAAAAAATCCATACATGTATTTTCCAGATACCAGTTCAATGTTTTGTTTCGAATTTTGTACCAGAATGATCTCATCCATCCAAGTCGTATATAGTACAAGAATTTAAACAAATACAGAGTTACCGCTTCTGCACCCAATGAACACGGGTGTACCAGGTATGAGCGCAGGCAATTGCACATCGACGTGCAGTAGTTTCAGCTCATGCACCTTGGACAGAGAGAGAAGGGGGGGTATTGGAAAACATTCACCTCACATTCTGCCCTGAAGTCCTGCACTTTATTTCTCCAAGTGACAGATAGATGACTGTCACAAGATTACTTAGGACTTAATAATATCTCATCCTTCAATAATGCCATTTTGTGAACCAAGTGAAAGCGATCTGACATGCGCCATGTGCAACCTTGTTCTGAAATCACCGTGCCACGTGTCAAATGCCACTTGCCATTTACCACGTGGGATGCTAACTTGGTATGAGAGTTGCCTAGTTTTCAGACAAACAGCAAATACGTAACCGCAGACACAAAGGCACAATAATAATAATAATAATAATAATAATAACAATAGCAATAACAATGATAATGAAAATATGAACAAAGATAAAAATATGAATTAATAACAATGATAAAAATTACAATGGTGATAATGATGATGAATGTTGTTGTTGTTAATAATAATAATAATAATAATAATAATAATAATAATAATAATAATAATAATAACAATAACAAAAAAAAAAACAAGAGCAATAACAAAAAGAATAACAATAACTACAATAAAAAACAATAGCAACAACAATAATAACAATAACAGTAATAATCATACCTCTAAAAAAATAATAATGACAATAATAATGGTAATGATAACTACAATAATCATGATAACAATATTAATAATAAAAATGAAAACAATAATAATAATAGTAATAACAAATATAATAATACAATAATCATAATGATGAGGATGATAATAAATATAATAATTTAATGATAATAAAAAATAATGACTATAATCATAATAATTATAATAATAAACATTATAATAAAAATAATAATAATAATAATAATGATAATAATAGTAATAAAAATGACAGTGCTAATGTAATTATTAATAATAATAACAACAGTAATAATGAAAGAACAGCAATCAACTTTCTGAAAGAACCATTAAATCCATTACATCTAAATAAAATCCAGAACATAAATTCAGAACCAAAGAGACAAAGAACTGCCATAATACGCACACATAACACATACGGCCATTGCATGTTCAGCAACGCGCACACAAAGAAACTGTTACAGACTCCATGAGAACAGGATTCTTATGAACCTCCAAATCCGAACCAACGCAAAATATCTTCGGAAGGGGTAATAATGCGTAAAAGTAACACGTAAAATTCCATCAACAATTCTATTCTAAATTCTCCGTTCATTCACCCAGTGCTAACCTTCTTCTATCTCCAATTTCCTCCTTTTTTTAAGTAAGCTTAATCATCATAAACAAACATCTTGCACATCATTTGAGTAAAATATGTCAATTATATTCCACAAATTAAAGTAAAAAAAAAAAGCATGCACTGATGCTTTGGTCTCGGACACATGGCAACATGTATCACAAAAACAGTGTCTGTGTGATTGAGAGAGAGAGAGAGAGAGAGAGAGAGAGAGAGAGAGAGAGAGAGAGAGAGAGAGAGAGAGAGAGAGAGAGAGAGAGAGAGAGAGAGAGAGAGAGAGAGAGGAGAGAGAGAGAGAGAGAGGAGAGAGAGAGAGAGAGAGAGAGAGAGAGAGAGAGGAGAGAGAGAGAGGAGAGAGAGAGAGGGAGGGAGAGAGAGAGAGGGAGAGAGAAGAGAGAGAGAGAGAAGAGAGAGAGAGAGAGAGAGAGAGAGAGAGAGAGAGAGAGAGAGAGAGAGAGAGAGAGAGAGAGAGAGAGAGAGAGTGTGTGTGTGTGTGTGTGTGTGTGTGTGTGTGTGTGTGTGTGTGTGTGTGTGTGTGTGTGTGTGTGTGTGTGTGTGTGTGTGTACATACTTTAAAAAAGAAACCTGTTCTTGAAAAACTGATGAATAAAAAAGGAATCTTTACCAGAAAAGTACCTAAAAACTCTAATGGGAAAAAGTGATGCCTAAATGACTGTCTAATACTTTCTACCTTAATATAATCACAAAGGATTATCCTAAGAATGAATAAAGATACTATTAGGAGAGAGAGAGAGAGAGAGAGAGAGAGAGAGAGAGAGAGAGAGAGAGAGAGAGAGAGAGAGAGAGAGAGAGAGAGAGAAAGAGAGAGAAAGAGAGAGAAAGAGAGAGAAAGAGAGAGAAAGAGAGAGAAGAGAGAGAGAGAGAGAGAGAGAGAGAGAGAGAGAGAGAGAGAGAGAGAGAGAGAGAGAGAGAGAGAGAGAGAGGAGGAGGAGGAGGAGGAGGAGGAGGAGGAGGAGGAGGAGGAGGAGGAGGAGGAGGAGGAGGGAGGAGGAGGAGGAGGAGGAGGAGGATAGAAAGAAAAAAAGACATACTGACTTGCCTCTGTCTAAAATGTTCAAGTCAAGGGAAATCCAGAGAACCTTCTGTTCAGCAAAAACAAAGGCTCGGCTTCACTCCACACCAAAGCTGTTCCGTCCCAATGGGCAAAAAACCGCAAAGCTCATAAACAGAGGGAGAGGGAAGGCCCAGGATCAAGAGACAAGGACTGTGTTTCTCTAATGGATCTAAACAACCATAAGCATTTACAATGGCCATGAGAAAGGAGGTTAGTATCCAGTCTTAGTAAGAGAAAGCAAAATTGTCCAAGACCACTTACTGTTGGCTTTCCAAAGGAGTGAAGCCATGGCATAAAGGCTGCTTGTATATTTTACTGGAAAGAAATGGATCTTTCTTGAACAGGATTACCTACAGACTCCTGTTGGGAAGTGAAGGTTGCTTTCATCCTGATGCTGAGAATAAAGGGGTTATAGCAATGTCCTATTCTGGTTAGAAATGTAAGTGACACAAGATAAGGTGGATTCACCAAAAAGAAAATCATGACCAATTGCCTGGGTGAAAGAGAGAGAAAAAGAGAATGACGAAAGAGGAGAGAGAGAGAGAGAGAGAGAGAGAGAGAGAGAGAGAGAGAGAGAGAGAGAGAGAGAGAGAGAGAGAGAGAGAGAGAGAGAGAGAGAGAGAGAGAGAGAGGAGAGGAGAGAGAGGAAAGGAGAGAGAGAGAGAAAAGTGGAGAGAGAGGGAAAAAGAAAGGAGAGAGGAGAGAGGAAAGTGGAGAGAGAGGGAAAGTGGAGAGAGAGGGAAAGAGAAGAGAGAAGAGAGGAGATAGGAGAAAGAAGTGAAGAGAGGAGGGAGGAGGGAGGAGGAAGGAGGAAGGAGGGAGGAGGGAGGAGGGAGGACGGAGGAGAGAGGTGAGAGAGAGAGAGGAGAGATGGAGATGGAGGAAAGAGAGGGGAGAGAGAAAAGGGAGAGACAGATGGAGGAGAGATAAGTGGAGAGAGAAGAGAAGGGGATAGTAAGAGAGAGAGACAGGGAGGAAAATGGGGAGTTGAAAAGGGAAGAGGAGGAGGAGGAGGAGGAGGAGGAGGAAGAGGAGGAGGAAGAGGAGGAGGAGGAGGAGGAGGAGGAGGAGTAGGTGGAGGAGGAGGAGAAGACAGACAGAGAGATAAAGAGAGAGAAAGAGATAGAGAGAAAGAGATATGGGGAGAAAGCGATATGGAAAGAGAGAGATTGAATACAAAACATTTGTTGTGCATTTGCATAATTCCACAAAAAAAAGGTAATAATGCCAACTCTCCTAAACACTTTCTACCATTTAAATGTGTATATTACTGATCATTTAAACCTTCAAACTACTAATAACCTATAGATTTAAATTCCTCTATTATATCCCTGATCACTGAAAATATGAACATTTCTACAAAGAATCTATAAAAATATAATCCAACCTATGAATTTTAAAACAGACTGTTCAATATCTCATGAAGTGGAGATAAATGACAATTTTTTTCCTCGTTATCCATGTTAAGTCGGAATACATTACCAAAACATCCCAGAAAAATCAACAGGGAATCCACACTTTCCTTAATATGATCGAACTTCAATTAAAAGACCTGTATATGCAATTTTTTTTAAAAATCAAATAAAATACAAGTTTAAACATAAAAATACGAAAAAAGGTGTGTTAGTAAAATAGCAAAACACGTAAGTGGAAAAATAAATCAGAGGTACTTACTTTGAATTATGTCTTCCAATGGCCCCCTTATATCTTCTTATCCCCTGTAAAGAGAAGAACAAGAATTTCAAAGCTTATTTCGTGGTTCTAAACTGCTGAAAATGCTTCCATATCTTTCAGCACAGAATAGGAAAAATATCTAATGAAAACCAGTAACTTTAAAGCACATCCAAGTTTAAACACAATTGCCATAAATGTTTTTATCAGTATAGGTTTGACAGTGATTAGCCAAGTATCATATCTGTTGGAGTATTTATTAAAAATTTTACCCTGCAACTCCCCTGGTATACTGATATACTCTTGAGATATTGGCATATCATCCTCACTACAATTAGTTATCATGGATTAAAATTACTATAGTTCAAAATGGACATTACACATCAGAAGCATAAATATTGGTTGAGGTGTGAGTGAGCATGTCATGTCTCAAGAGTACTTTCACCCATCCAATTCCTATAGCTTTTGTGATATGATGCATGAATGTTGAAAAAAAATTACATTAAGATGCATTTTGTAGTCATATTACATGTTCTAGCAATTATTTTCTATAGTTACTTAGTAACCTTCCCATTTATGAGATTTTATGTGAAAATACCTGTAGGCAGTAGTAGTTTTCTATATAAAGGACAAAATAAAAGAAGAAATATTTATCATTTTATTCTTAAAAAAAAAAGGCATATACAATAATCACAACTCCTCCTTCTCCATACTTCTCCTACTCCTTTCTCTGATTATGAAAGTGTTTGAAGCACTTCAGAGGACACAGAGGCATGCTACAGCACTCATACATGATGTGTGTCACCCTCTGCCGTTTACACACCAATAAAAATGAAAGCTCCTATTGCCAGGTGTAGCAGCCAATTCAGTTTGATTCCTCCTCCTTCCAATTCTCCACTAGTGCATGAGAAATCAGATTAGGACCATCTGAACCTCAAACTATGTCATCGTGCTCCTGAGAGGTTTATGGACCGCATAGGCAGTGATGACACACTGCCTGAGCTAGTCACTAAAATCTACATAATCCATGTCCATGTTGTAATCACCACTACACTTAGTTTGACCTAAATAACTCCTCATCAGTTGGCTGATAGGGTGACAACCTGACTGGTGGAATGGGACCGAAAGTAATGGAATAGGAGTAGCAGGCAGTACCACTCATCCAAGTGCAGCTCATAGAATTTTCCAAACAAGTTCAAGACAGCCTTCATACTAGCAGGAAGATTGCCATGGTCCTGACCCACATATATCCAGAAGGCATGGGATATCCACTGGAACACAGACTGTACACCATGTCACACCAAAGGGTTGTAATCCTCTTAGAAAGGATGTACACCATCAAGAACTGGCAAGAAAGTGTGTCAATGATGGCTGGAACTTCCACAACCAGTCGTTGTTGGCATGAGCACCACTGATGTCCGAAAAGTTGAAGTATATTTACTGGGCTTCAATCTCACCATCATCTAGGCAAATACATGGTAGCCTATCAATGGATTGCAAGACCAATAATGTGAGATGTGAGACAGTCATACTGGTTTGTGAACCTGAAATCAGGAAGAAAAAATATTGTAAAATTCAGCAGACAAAGAGTTTACATACTGACAAACAAACACAAAGAGATGTGGTCACTTACTAGTTGGTTTCCTCTGCAATGAGCTGCATCAATTCCAGGGTCATGAAGCAGTCAAAGACTTCCTTTTCAGTCAAGTCCTGTTTTGGCTGTTACCATGAAAGTATAAGTGGATCTTCCACTTCTAAAAGAACCCCAAAGTCCCATGCGCATTCTGCTTTAATCACTGCAGGTCAACCTGTGACAATGGTGTCAGTATCAGTGGTACTTTCCTTGTAAAAGATATGACCACAATATCACTATCAAACAAATGTAAAAGATTTCTCAATAAGGGAACACCCTTGGGAGTCATTCACTTGACATATAGCATTCCTACACCCAATGAATGAGAAAGGAAGGGGACAAGCACAGTATTATAAAAAATCACACACACACACAAAATCACTTCCCCAATAAAGGAACCAACTGAACAAGAACAGGTAAGGACTTAGAAAACACACACAGTTCAATATCACAAAAGAACACAGTCTAAATATACACTTACCAAAAAAGGAGGCAGACTTTTAAAAAATGAAAGTACGATAACCCCCAAATGGTGACAAAAACCTCAGAAAAATCAGAGGCAGGGGGGTCATCCACGTCACAGTCCTCTACATCGCTAATCGAGCACAGGGCAGGAGTATAAGAGGAGAAGCATGTGTGTTTTGTGTATAGTTGAGGAAACATTTTTTTTAGAGTGATTTATGCCATGTTGTGTTGGCCTGATTGACCAATCAAGTCACACCTCTTTACTGAAAAGTGCAAAAACTTTTCTACGGACTAAATGGAAAGCAGACTCTCTTTGACCAGCACACATATCAACACGTGGAGGAACTCCAATACAATGTTTCATATTTTTAATAAATAAGGAATACATTTGAATCATTTAGTCAGTATTAGAATGTATTATTTCATTTATATTCAATTTTTTAAAAATTAAATAAAGTGCATATATGTGAATTAACAGAAAAGAGATTAAAATGCTCATTCATACATACATCAACCATAGCTCCAGAAATGACAGGAAAATTCTGTAACATGACATGATGTCACCTGACGAGAGTAGTTTAACAGGATTTACTGAACTGATTATGACATTTCTTTGGATCACTATTGTTGTGTACCTGCTGTCAGTATCTAGAAAAGGACTGCATCAAGCAACATCACTGTTCTTTGCAATTTAGCAAAGGTCAACAAGTCTCACCATATATATTTAGGAAGACTGAGATTTGAAAATAGATTGTTAGGAAGATCTGTTTGTATAACTGGTGTGCAAAACTTTATGGCCACAAATTGGTTATTCCTATTACAACCTAAGTATGTTATGAGACTGATTAACAATTATGGCCTTAGGTTCTACCTTACCTTGCAGAGATTATTTTTTATACCTTATTGAATCATTTTATACCAAACTGTATTACTTTATCTTAATTTTTTCTGTTTGCACTGCCCTATTCTAGACAATTACCAAGCTAGCTCTTTATATAACAAGGTAATTCTTTACACTATCGATTCCCTCTCCAGAGACTTAGTCCCCAAACCCACATCACAAAATTAATTCAACAATCTAAGTTGTTGTCCCCTTTGGGCACTAACTGAGGCATGGGTCAATAGGGGACTCTGCCTCTCACACCCCCTGAGAACACCCCCTGAGAAACATTGTATGCACATGAACAGATAGAGCTGAAACACAGAAGCACCAAGTGGACTATGGCTGTCAGCAGTGCTTTCCACAATTTTTTCCCTACCTTAGTGCATCTATACCGTAAAGATTAACCAAAAACAGAAAACTAGCAGTGCAGTTTTTGTGCATGACAACAGATTTTCATGACTGATAGTATATGGAAATCATAAATTGATGAAATCTATGACACTTTTCCTCAATGGGATTTCATGCACAAATTGAAAATGTAAAAGAAATACGAGATATGCAGCAGCTATTTTGAACTTCATCTTTCACTGATGAACAATTGCCTAGTGTATTTTTTTAGAATGAGGTATCTGTACAATAACAATATATTCCTGTATATCTAATTCATGCACAGAAGGGTCAATATGTAGTATAAGGTAGTGGCAGAGTTGGGTAATAAAACCTACATGAAATGATAAACAATACAAACCAAGACAAAGTTCTTCTATGGCAATATGTGTGCAAATGCTTCCCAAGGCTGATATACATAAAAGAAAAGAGAAGAGCTCCAGGTCAATATGTAGAAGAAGGTAGTAGGTTACTTTCGAAACAATTTTGATATTTTTCTGCATGAAATCAACTGCTTTCAATGATTCTAGGCATTGTTCCCTGGGCAAACAAATCGTTGAGGAGATATGATCACCATCTCCATTGACAATCTTGATTTGATAGTCCCTATAGCAGGGGAGGACATGAGGTATTTCAGGGGAATTATGGGGTAAAGCAGGACCCTCGTGGTTGTTAAACAAAACGTCATAACCCAACACCCAACCTAACCTAACACCATGGTATATATTCCCTAGCCAGGGGCCTCTGCCCCCTGGACCCCCATTGTAATATATATGCCTAGCACCCTTGGGAAGCATTTGCACACATATTGCCATAGAAGAAAATTGTCTTAGTTTGTATTGTTCTATCATTGCATGTAGGTTTTATTAGACAAACTCTGCCACTACCTTATACTACATATAGTCCGAGGATTCTTTGTTTTCCTGGGCAGGGGTTGGGGAGTAGCAGCCCCCTGCATTAGACAACATAGTGAATGATTTGGTACTGTAATTACAACACAGTTTGAGAATTCCACACTGTGCACACATGACTAGATCTCCAATAGAGATCATGTTACAATACTGTAAATGTAGCTACAGCCACTGATTAAAGCATTGGCATAAATCTTCAGCAGATGCCTAACAAATATTCCAGAACAGATGAGGAAGAGGTCTGATGTTGTTATACAAAAACCATTAATCTAATCACCACAAACTGTCTTGTATATGAAAGTCATGTTATCATAGACAAAAGAAAATGTCCAATCTAATAATACATATCACTGTCACATTTCTGCAGACCTACCACCTGCTATACTGTGCCGATCAACACGTCATGATTTCCATAATGATTCGTAATAAAATAACTAATTTAACTAAGAACTTCGAACACATGACAGTAATATTTTGTATAACATATTCATAAACCTAATAAATAACGTGTTCACATATAAAATCGTTACTAAAATATGGGCCACGTTGTGTGAAAACCCCTTTCATTTTCTACATAAAAATTAATTGCACGAAAAAAAATCATATGCTGCAAAAGTTATTCTCAAAATCGAGAGAAATAATGACTACAATAATCAACCTCGTAACCAGGAAAAAACTCCTCATGACAGCAATAACGAAAGCAAAAGCACAATGCTTTCATTACCTTTATACATCTTCGTTTACATTTCTCTTCCTCTTTCATAATTCTCCAAAGAGAATCATCCATATATATACCATTAATAACTTCTCTCTACCCTTATATAATAAATCAGACACTTTTATATCACCTCAATGCCTTGTTTTCAGTCTTCCAGAGATAAATCCTTAATGAAGAGCCGTAACGTCCGTGCGCATTCGTCTTGAACGTCGGCTGAACATGTAAACAATAAACAAGTGATGAACGGGATGCGCAGAGCCTCTTGATTACTAATATAAAGTTTCATTAATTATCACATATTAGTACTGTTATTTTCTATTTTACGTTTACTGTCATTTATCGTTTATTATTTATCTTGTGAAGACCAGTATTCTCATAACATATTGATTATTAATATAAAGTTTAATTAATTATTACATCTTAGTGCTGTTATTTTCTATTTTACGTTTACTGTTATTTATCGTTTATTATTTATCTTGTGAAGGCCGGTATACTCATAACATCTTGACTACTAATATAAAGTTTCATCAATTATTACTTCTTGGTAATGTTATTCTATATTACGTTTACTGTCATTTATAATTTATCTTTATCCTTATCATAAAAAAAAAACATTAATGATTGTAATGGTAATAATGGTAATGATGATGATAAGGATGATGATGATGATAATAATAATAATAATAATAATAATAATAATAATAACAATAATAATGACAACGATGATGAGGTGGTGATGATGAATAAGTTCTCGATGTTACTTTGGAGACGTTAGTATGAGACCTCTATTAACCTTTTTAAAAATAATTTTTACGTCGTCTGCAAACATATTCAGATAATTACCTTGACTTAATGACGAAAACAATAAACATTACCGGCGCAAAGACCGATCTTCGAGGTATTCTGCTAGATGTAGAGGTACTACAGTGCTCATCTTTCTTTCGTGTAGGGTCTCTCATTCAATCGAAGAATTTGCATTTCACTCCACCTAAGTGTTTTAATTACCGTAATAGTATTCTATGAGAAACCTTATCGAATGCCTTTGTAAAGTCTTAGTATACACAATTCACCCAGTCGTCTCTTTCTTGTAATATTGCAGAAGCTCATAAAACCCGAAGGGATTTGCTACATATGACCTTCCTCCCCTAAAATCAATTGCTTCTTTGATATCTTACTGTGATTTTCAAGTACTTCAATCTCTAACATCTTGCAACCATTTTCTTCCAACTTGATACATTTCTTACGCTGCCTGAAATCTTTGTCTTCTGAACCTTTTCCAAAAGAGCTACTTGTTTTCTCCCATTTTGCATTTATCGTTTGACCAATTTTTGGCCATTCCTTGCTTCAGTTTTGAATAAAAAAATATCTACTCATTAGTTATAGGCTTCGCAAAAAATTAAATATAGTATATAAATTTTATCTTCGTCCAGGATTCTTTCCCAGTTTTTTTTTTATGCCATCAAAGAATTCTTTTCTAGAGCTACCTGTCTTATAGTTGTATTTCCCCTTTCTTTCCTTACATGTTCATTACATGTGTGTTTGTGTATGTGTGTGTGCAGTGTGTTCCTGCACTAGTCGACAAGATAAAAGCTTTGTAAGAGACAATGCCTAGAATTGACGGCCTCATGGTTATTCGTCTCTGTAACTATTCGTTGGAGAAAACCCCACCTTTATTCAGAGTTTCGTCAAAATGACTGGCGTGAGGAAGGCCAATTTTCTGCTTCACGGTGCTAGTAGAAAGGTAAAAGAAATGGATACACTGCTCAAATTTGAGTGCCTATCCTTAGGGCCACATCTTGAAGGGCTGGACGGATACCTCTTGCGAGTGGGAATGGTCAAGCTAGCCAGAATCGTGGTCATTATAACACGTAATAACTGGTACGTGGATCTTCACAAGACATGAGAGCATGAGCCAGTAGCCACTTTGATCTCACAAAATTCCGCGGCATCTCCACGCCTCCACAGCCCATGGAGATAGGCTACTACAAGTAGCCACGACCAGCACGCACTAGATTCTACAACTCCAAAAATTGTAAGTGCGGGACACATGGTTCCTTTGCCTCAGAATCCCACAGGAATCATGCCTCTCAAACAGCCCTGGTACTTGTCATTGTTCAGCAAGTTCAGACCAAATCTACTAGTCTCATCCATTCCGTTCAGCGCAAGTCTAAGTTGCTTCCCATAATATGACAAACTGACAACGCAGGCTACCGCGTCTCAGCAGTGAAAAGTAACATAAGGAACATAAATACAAAAGACATGTCGACCAGAGGTATGTTCAACAGAAATTAAAGTTCGTGATGGCAATGCTACAAATGAATATCGCCGTGATAACACTGTGGTGCAAGATAGAAAAAAAACAATACCCCAAGGAAAGAAGAAAAACAGAAGCAAAAAACAGCAACAACTTGGCAACGCTTATATATGTAAACATCAGTTTTGTCTCCTACGGGGAAGTAACATGTGACAAGATTTCGAATTTATGATTTTACTAGTTACCCCTTAAGAAGGATAAATTTCTGTTGCAGCCAGCACATTTCGTTTTCTATAATTTACGATCTAAATCCGTACATACCTGATCGAATTAAACACATTGTAATGCTGCATAGTGTCCAATATTGCATTGTCTTCCACGTCACGTTTGTTTTAAGTACTTATAGCAAAACCCCTTCCGATCCCATACAAAAGAAGAAAGGAATATATATTTATCCCGAAATATCGAAGCCAGACGCGGCACGAAAGGTATACACAAGATTTTAAATAGATATTATAACATCTTTAGATTAAACTACTGATATGTAGCCTTTCACAGGTATGATTACAAAGGTTTATTGTCACAATAGAAGAAAGTGAAAATCAAAGTTACAGCATATGATACTTCCTTCCTTTACTTCTTATATAGCCTATATATTTTTTACTTTATTTTGAAGACTAATTTATCTCAAATCATAGATTCTTAAGGTAGAATCATATCTGTGTATGTCTACATAAGGTCACCTGAATCATCTTCTATAGAGGATTCAGAAATCATTTTGAATCACAAATCGAGATACATTAATAAAACATAATATCGTTGTGGCGGCGCCAGATTTTTTCTACTGGTATTTAGTTGACGATGGTTAAGAACTGACTACACACACCAGTAGGGCCAAGGATGAAAGAATGGTGTTGTGTACATAGCAAATATACACAATAGGAAAATGGATAACTATTATGAAGTTACTTCCAAAGACCAGATGGAATTTCGGAAGGACACATGGGGGGGGGGGGATTCTTGATCGACACTGACAAAATACTTGATAGAATCCCGCATACATATGAAAAAACATATTTAAAATGCCAAAATATGCACTACTAGAAGGCATAGGTACTTTCACATCCCTTGTTAGTCACAAAGAAGTGACGGATTATGGGAGCAGATCAGCTCATAGATCTCCTTGGTTAGCAACAAAAATGCTGGACTGGAATAACATAACCAATGAACTCTAGCAGATCTAGTACACAGACCTGCAGAATCCTAACAAGGAATAAGACCCTTTACGCTAAACAGTCCCATGCAACAGTGTCCATATATTCGAGAGGGAAACGCAAATAACGATTGCCCAGAAACAGACCAAGAACTAATTTAAAGAATTAGTCTACCCACAAATACCCGTACCACTTCAACAACAGAGCATAAAGTATAAACAAGAACAACAACAACAACAACATTTCAGGCACGCTGTATATACACATCTACATTCTATACCTCTTAAAACAATAAAATGCAAGCCAGCCTCCTTCCTTTGGTACCTCTTCGAACTTTTAGAATTATCTTCATAGGAATCTTACCCATATAGTAACCATATGCCCCTGATTCAGACGAGAATGTGGCACCCCAGAACAAGTTCATGCCTTAAAATCCAACATGGAAGCATGGCAGACTTAGATGAAATATTCCAGACTTTGGATTAAAATATCAAAATAACTTGAAGGCTGGTCAGTGTTGGACCCAGCGCTTTTCCATGTTTACATCCAGTTATATTACTGGAACTACCTGAAATTTAGATACGCAAAATATATAGTCATAATACATCAGTCAAATAATGTGGCTTTGTGGAATGAATGCCATAAAAATTCTTCAAGAGGACGGAATTAATTCATGACCTACGAAAACTCATACCAAGTCAGGTCAGTTCTTCTGTCTTTCTGGCCTAACAGTCCAGAGACATGAACTACGCTGCTGATATGCAAATCTATGTGTAACTGAGTATCTCGGAAGCGGGCGCCTTGTCTCAAATGCTGATTAATGTAATAATCTGCTGAATATTGCAGTTCGGCCGACTCTTCTCAGCAGGTCCTTGAGAATGGTCAAAGGCTGCTAGATGGGTTCACCAGCAGTTTAGTGGGATGCCTCAAGCACCCGTTGCCTTGAGAATCGGCTCCATTATTTCTGTCAAGATAAAAAGTTACGGTTATGCGATGAAAGTATTAGTCAAGTTCAAGCTAACAATTGATGATTTAACCTGAAACAACTTTTCATAATGCTCTCTCTCATCCCATCAGAACCTGAGAAGATCTGATCTTCAACTGAGCAAACTGCAGACAACTGAGAGAGAGAGAGAGAGAGACTTTACAATCAATGTTCTCATGCTTTGGTAGGCAGAACGAAGGTCACTTGGTTAATGAATATCTTTTGACCTCATCACCAAGATTCCTAATATGGTGTCCCTTGTCCCTCTCAGCAATCTCCACCTACTGTGGATCTAGGGAAGATAATGTTCACGCCTCATTAAAAGACTCCCGAGCTGCATCGCGCATTTCATGTCTGGAAGCGTGTCCCACAGTGCTACACTACTAAGTTGTGAGCATTCCGAATCAGTTATAGATACACATAACAAACCCCTGAACACGCTTTCTCTGCCAGTTCAAGTGAAATGCCCTGGGATAATCACTAGATGGACGATAGATTTAAAAGTGCATCCAGAGTGTAGCCACGAAAAGGTAAATGACAGTTACGAAAAAGGCAACGAGATGGAAAACATGTAAATCAAAATGCAATGATATGAGGCACACCTGTTCTTCTAAAAGGGAGTAATGAAACTGAAATGGGAAAGTAGCAGTGTGTTAAGCTAGTTTAGCACTTTCACAATAATTTCTCAGTGAAACAACAATTAATTAAAGACTTTAACATAATATAATAGATATCTTATATCCAAAAGCAAACCAAACAAA